GGATTCTCGTTCGAATCAACAAGATGCCATAATTCAGGTGACACTTTATCCTGAATATATGTGACTCTATTACTCACAAAAGTTTTCCATCTGTATGGTGAAGCTTTAATCCACGCAAGAGTAATTTCCAAATATGTCCATGCCCAAATAGAACTTAATTTAAGTTTACCTTGATATACACTAAGTACAAATGACATTAAAGAAGAGAGGAGTACAGCAGAACACAATTCTAAACATGGAATAGATATGCGCTTGAGCAAGGCAATTTTCGATTTCGCACAGACAAAATATAGTTTCGATTTCTGATTTTGTATTTCACGAAAATAAATTGACAGCAGCATAACCTTTTTCGGAAGCGTCACGAAAACCATGTAGTTCACATACTAAATGAATATTGTGTAATAATCTGCGGGATAATTGAATTTCTGGCAGTGAATTCAATTCTTCTTTATAGGGTGACTAATATTGAATAATTCGTTCATTGGCAGTTTCGTCCCTGTCGAAATCTGAAACCCACAACTGTTGAATAAGATATTTTGTTGAAAATGTTATAGGGGCAATAATTCCCAATGGATCGAATACACGAGCAAGTTCGGACAGTAAATTTCGCTTCGTGCAAGTTATATTCAATACTTCAACTGAAAATGAAAATTTATCTTCAGAACAATAATAATCCTAAAATTTTATGGAAGCTTTCTTGGCACTGATCAAAAGAAATTGGAGATGTGTCTAAATGTGATTTGGGTAAATGAGACACTAGGGAGGGCTCAATGCTCGACCACTTACGTAGATCGAAGCCTCCTTTCTTCAATAGAGTTATCAACTCTTCTTGAAGACGTAAAGCACCTTCAAACGTCACATGACCTGTTACGATGTCATCAATATAACAATCGGACAACAAAGAAGTAGATGCGAACGGAAAATTGGCACCATCTTCAGGCACCAACTGCTGAATAGTTTTCAGTGACAGATATAGAGAGGCTGAAATTCCATAAGTAAGGGTGCGAAGTCTATAATCTTGAAGAGTTTCAGATGGCGAGAAACGCCATATAATGCGTTGATAATATTGATGATCGTGACAATATGAAATCATCCTGTACATTTTTTGCACGTCTGCACATAGGGTATATTTATGTATGCGAAAATTTAACAGGATCGTGACAATATCACGTTGTAATTTGGGACCAGTTAATAAATAATCATTGAGTGATAATTCATTTGGATCACGGGCAGATGCATTGAACACTACTCTCAACTTTGTTGTTGAACTTTGAGGTTTAATTACGCGATGGTGCGGTATATAATAACTTTTCATTGGTACTTTGTTTTCCGAAATTAATTCCATGTGATTAAGGTCTAAGTATTCTCGCATAAATGAACCATAATCTTCATATATATGTGGTTGTTTTTGTAAAAGTTTTTCAAGGGCTAAAAAACTCCTGATTGCAAGACATCTACTTCGGGAAAATACAGGAGGTGAGTTTCGTAAAGGTAATGAAACAATGAAGTGCCCAGACTCATCCCTTGTTGTTAATATTCTATATAAATCTTCAGCCATCTTATCTTCTAGTCTCATAAACATCAGGAACGGATTCAAGCTCCCAAAATGTTTTAATATTGTTTTCTGAAGATGTATAATCTATTTTACAAAACAATGAATTTAGTGAAAGCGAAGCGTCACAGTTAAACTGACCCGTTACAACATAACCCAATACTGTTTCCAAAGCTTACGGTTCCCTATTTCCACCCCTAAAATAATTTCCTAACAAAATTTTTAGAAATATATCTGCGCCTAAAAGGAGATCAATTTAACCTGGACAGTTAAAGTTAGGATCTGCCAACTCAATATTGAAGATATGTGGCCATTTTGTAATAGAAATATTTGTAGAGGGAAGTTTTTCACATATTTTTGGTAAAATAACAGCATCAGTTGTAAATGCAGGTGAAGTTTTTCCATATGGTTTGATACACAATGTTACCCCACCTGAACTAGTAACAGTTTTAGTTTCACCTAACCCTTGCACAGCCAAAGACAAATGATATTTTGTTAAACCTAAATTGTTGAAACCTTTTTAAGTGATGAATGTACTTTGACTGCCTGGGTCTAATGAAGCCCAAAAATTGTGATAATTTCCTCGATTACTCAAAACTTCAATGCATGCTGTTGCTAACATTACCACTGAATTGCATTTCGTAAATCCACACCCACAGTTGACAGTAGCAACTTCTTGAGCAGCAGACGTGTTGCCATTGGTAGAATTAGATGTAGATGTTTGGGTTTGAGGCGTTGATGAAGTTGTTTTTTCCATCAAACATAACAAGGAATTATGTCGTCTATTACACCACCGACACCAGGCATTTGACTTGCAGGTTCGAATATCATGCATATTGGCCAGACGATTAAAACATCGATGTAACGATGTGGAATTGGCCGCGGTGGTAGTGCGTCCGACTCACGATCGGAAGGTCGTGTGTTCGATTCACGCCTCGACCAGATATTTTTCTCAAGAGAATTTATCTGGTTGAAGCTGGAATGATTCTGCAACCGTGTTAGGAATCACACGTTAAAAGGTAAGACCTCGTTAGTCCTTAGCTCGCACAAGTTTCTCAACTTCTGAGAGTTGTCGTTCGTATGGGGGCGGCAGCTGATTAACGGAAAAACAGATTTTAAACAGAGATGTAACGATTTATAAAGATTATAGCGATCAACAGGTTTCTCAAGAAAATTAGGACAGGAAAATAGTAAATGTTTGCTATGGCAAAGTGGACACTGATTATTTAAACTGCGTTTTTCCATTTTAGCAAAAAATGAAGCATTTTTCGAAAAATTACTTTCACCTCTAGAGCGGAAATTCATACTTGACTTATTACCGGTATCCGAACTTTTCTTTGATTTTGAAGTAAATGAAAAAGCTGAAGCTTCAATCACGGTACATTGTTTATCTAAAAAATTATATAAGTCCATGTATTTTGGAATAGCGACAGAACAATGAATTCGCTCAAAATCTCTTATCATTTCTGGATTAATAGGCTCAATCAACATTTGAACCAAAATAAAACTCCACTCATCAATGGGAAGAGCCATCTTCCTCAACTCGGATAGATTTTCTGAAAAAACATCTAACAGATGTCGAAACCAAATTGGATTTTCACAATCAACTTCTGGACAATTTTCTAACTCATTTCACTGAGCCGTAGCTCTGAATCTTTCATTAGTATATTTCTTCACAAGACTTGCATATGCAGTTGCATTACTGGGTCCTTCTAAAGGATGCATCTTTACTGATGATAAAGGAGGTCAGTCTAAACATGATACTGAATAATTGATTTTTTTCAGAATCGTTCAGTGATCCGTTATTATGAACCGTATTGTTGAATAGATCAATAAATAATGGAAAGTCCTTGTAATCACCAGAAAATGTCCTAAGTTCCATTTTAGGTAACCTTATGCGCGTATCATCGGAAGTCGAATTAGTATTTTCAACAGTCTGATTCAATTGTAAACTATTTTCAATTATATCTGCGTATATTGTGCGAATNCAAAGAAACAACTGATTTAGTAATTATTATTCTGTTAGACTTCTTGGGAAACATGCAAGCAAAATCTTCGTTTGTACATTGAAAACAAAAGAATTAATTTCATTTTCGAAATCAGAATCGATAAAGATATGTGACTATTTTTTAATGTAGATTTCTAAAGTATTTGTGGTAGACTGAACCGTGAAGTACTTTTTATTAAACAAAGTTGCAGTTACCAAGTACTTGTTATACATCATTCTAATCTGTTCGTGAGCTCGTTCGTGGTTGAAGTTTGTCTAAGGATCTACTGTAACTACTGTGATTCCAAATAAATTAATTAACAATGATCCTAATTTGCGCTTCTCTAATACCAAGGCCTCTAAATTCTATCAATGAATTTCCATTTTTAACAAAATATTCTCAGCCAAAAGCATTGATTTAAAAAAAAATCACTTTTATTACACATAGATGTTGATTTCATTGGTGTGAGTTTGATCTCTTGTCATTTTTATCGCTATTTGGGAGAATTGTTTTAGCGCTTTAAAAATCTGTTTTAGCGGCCTAGCCTTCAATTTTTTTTTTTGTTTGAAGTTTGAAGTTCTAACCATTTTAACCAAATTAAATTTATATAGTATGATTAATTTCTTTAATAAATGTCTATATCAAATGGAATAATCCTCTGAATAGAAAGCAAAATATGTATGATGATCGTTATACATACCTATTGAGAAAATAAAAAGTTCAAAATGGAATTCCAAAACATTCACCTCTACCAAAGTTCCTACACAGTAGGACCTGGTAAATGCCTGCATGAAAACAACTTACTTCCCCTGCTAATACAATGATTTACATTGAATTATATCACAGACAATTATGCAAGTTATCTCACAAAGGATGATACTCTTGCAGATGCTTCTCGTTCATCCAACAGCAGGACCATGCTGCACTTATGAAGGACAATGCTCCTAAACCGGTCTGTAGGTGATTACTAGAATGATTTCATCTTGGTCCTGCTTCTGCTTGAAATATTCAATTTTTTTTTATTCTTTGAACTTGCCTTGAATATATTTCAAGTATTCTATACATTCATCATACTTTCACTGAATATTTACTTGATAATAAAAATGTTCCAATCTTGGTAGTTACATAGTTCTAAAATTAAGGAATTAAGTAGTTGACTCTATCAGAAATGAATTTATTCATTTTATTTTGGGTTTGTCATATTGAATACTGCTCAATTATAACAGAATATTTCCAAAAAACGGCCTACAAATAAATCATCCACCCACTTTATCACTCACCTGACGAATGTGAAGTACTGCTNGACAGTTGAAAAAACCAATCTTGGTAGTTACATAGTTCTACAATTAAGGAATTAGGTAGTTGACATCTATCAGAAATGAATTTATTCATTTTATTTTGGGTTTGTCATATTGAATACTGCTCAATTATAACAGAATATTTCCAAAAAACGGCCTACAAATAAATCATCCACCCACTTTATCACTCACCTGACGAATGTGAAGTACTGCTATACCCACCCGGAGTCTGTGTATTCACCGAACATGACCTCCATTTTTTGCACAAAAGATCTGCTAGAGGTGCTCTGTGACCATCTGGTGCCTCATGGTAAAAAATTCCAGAATGAAGAGGTCTTGTACTATAATAGTCTCTGTCTGATCTCTGGACAATTGTTTCAATTTCTCGGTTGAGATCTTCTGCAGAACTTCGAAAACAAGGCTTTGGTAGAGGTTTTATGGTTGTTGGTGAAATAAAGCTTGCTAGAAATAGAGAATAATCTTGAAGAAATTGAAGAAATCCTTCAGATCTGTATCAGGGGGTACTTTCTTCCATTAAATAGCAATTAATGCTATACAAATCAAAATAATTTCCCAATCGTTATTATCCATTTTGGGCTTTGACGTGAAAGACTGAACCTAAGAATGTTGATTCAGATTCATGAACAGACATGAATTCTTAAAAACTAGATGAAAATGTACATGAAATAAAAACTTGAAATTCTAGGGAATGAACCATGATTTTGCTATTAGTAAAATTGATGAAAAATATAACAATTTTCAAGAGGATATTTCGAAAGTTTTGGATGAGTATATGCCTATAAAGAAAAATCAAATAATGATTCTAAATTTTCATTCAATCACGAAATTTTGAAAGCCATAGAATATAGGAATTATTGTTACAGAATTTTTAATATCCCGAGACAACTTATTGACTGGAATGAATAAAGAAAGCTAGGAATTCAGCTGGTCCAAAATTCGAAATGCATATATCTAGAAAACCAAATTGATCAGTTTTTTTATTCTAAACAAATGTGATAAGGAATGATATGGAATTAAAAGATACAATTTTTGATGATAAATGTTCAACATGACTGAAAGTAATTGCTGACAAATTCAATGTTTTTCATGTGCAGTATACGTGCCATTTCAGAGAGGGACGGTTTTCAGTTTTTCTAAACTGATTTATTCAGATGTAATATTTGTTCCTAAATGTACTAGATCTGGTAGGAAATTTAGAGCTCCTTGTAGAGTAGACTGAACTATGAAAATCTAATGATATTTTCCAGAATTCGGACGCTGCATCCAGAATACTGAAATATTTTGCAGCACTTAGCTTGGATTAAATTTCTTCGAAAGTAGACAAATGAAAGTATTTCCGTGATATGCTTATCCACATCTCTGGGATAGAGACATATTCGAAGAGACCCATTTGGTTTTTTCAGTAAAACTATGGAATTCATCCATTCCGTAAGATAATCAACTTTACTGATGATATTTTTTTCTCCATGTTTGACAAACAATACTGAAAGTTGTATAATAATGGAAATTTTTCTGGCAGAATGTATTACAGGTTTTGCGTTCTGCTTAAGTAATATGTAATAAGGATTTTTCAGACAAACTATACCTTCGAAAAGAAAAAAATATTTTTCTAATGAAGAGTTACATTCATCTTTTAGAAAATCGATTTTTCAATTAAATTCATTTCAATACATAAGTTTAAACCAAAGATAGCGGAAAAATCAACATTTATTATGATAAATTTCAATGTACAACCATTTTTTTTTCACATTTCAATTCACACTCTCCTACAACAGGAATACTAACATTGAAGTAATTAGTTAACTTTACAATGGTTTTCTTCTTTTTGTCAATAAGCAATTTTTTTTCTGAATCTTTTCTACTCAATATATTCATCATTGCTTCATCATTGCTGTCACTGAAACTGATAATGGCTACATTATTTACATTTACCATTCCAATAAAAACATAGAGTCAAGTTTTCACCTATTTCATCAAATTGCTCATTATAGTTTTCAGAATAAACTACAAAAATGATTCATTGTCGGCACATTTTCCAGTTCCAAATCATCACATTGTAACAATTGTTTCAACTTAACGAATATCAACCCACTCATCAACACTGAACACGTTAGACTTTCTTCTATTTCCCAACTCACAGTTTTTTGCCCTATTCTTAAGTTCAGTTACATATTGTTGAACTGTTTCTCCATTCAATTGCTTTTTATTGATGAACATTTACTTTTCAAGGGTAACGTTTTTTTTTAGTTGGAAATGCCCTCGAAAGTTTTATCAAAGATTCAATTTTATCTTATTCTGCTTCCGAAAACTCAACAGAATCATAAATGTGCAATCCTTCATCGCCAATATATTGGGGTAAATGAACACACTGTGATTGTTTTTTATCTAATTCTGCTGCTTTGAGATTATTTTCAAACTATATCATCCAAAAGTTTCACTTCTCAGAAACATTTCCACTCATGTCAGGTGGAGCCGTATATCGATAATCTGCCACTACGTTTATTCCACACTCTCAAAATTCACCCAATTCTTTATTTTTCAATAATTTTTTGCAGTGCCATGTAATGATTTTACGTTTTCAATTCAGGCTGATTTATTTCGATAGGAAACAATAATTTTTAAAAACATATATGAAAAGGAGTTGCTACGTTAAATATACATGGTGACACAAAAGTATCGAAATGGGAACTATTTTTTACAGTTATGTGAAAATCAGTACAATAATTCCAATAAGAAAATTCTTAAGGCTAAAAGAGAAGAAGATTTCAGGCCGATCAATATGCTCACAGCCATTGACAACATTTTGGAAAGTATTGTATTGTAATGATCAAATTCTTGTTTTCATAGAAAAGAATAAAATACTCTCAGAATTCTAATCAGCAATCAGAAGTAATAAGTTGTGAATTTGCAGTTCAATACATCCTGAATGAATGGAAAACTTCGGTGGATAAAGTATTTTTAGATTTGAAACGAACTTTTGAAACTAATGATAGAATTAGCAAGAATCTCAGTCTGTTCTTGAATATCAGTATACAATACCATCATCTTACCACACTTTATTTTTTGTAGTGCTGTTTTATACATTTCCTACCAAAATGAAATAAATCGACTGCAAATTTTATAAAACCGGGCAATGAGAGTAATTTTGAGATGTGATAGGTACATGAAGATGTCTGTAATGTTGGAAATATTGAACTGAATGAATGTCAAGGACATATATCTTCAACTTAATACTCGTATAAAATTATATCTGCATTCATCTAACTTTTTAATCAGTGACAATTATGGATGTTTCTACTGAATTCATCCCTACCAAAATATTCATTACAAGTATTTAACTTCAGTAAAAACAATTTTTTTGATTTTATTCCAGGAAATCATTAGTAGGTCGCTTTTAGTTTAATTTTCTGAAGGAAATTATCAGTTATTCAAGGAAAGAATTATAATAACCGATTCAAAATGTTTATATCAGTTTCATGATTATTTTTTTAATGAAAGATGTGTCAAAGAGTTCAGTGTTATGTCATATCCATTTATAATGAAGATTTCTTGAAGATTGATATTGCTATCATTAATCTACCAAGCTCTCCCTACATGCAGATAATACAATTTCAAGAAAAATCACAAGGAAAAGATTCTTGTGATGCCGATAAACTGCAATGTGTCAAAAAAAACATCATTTCAAAACATTCTTTATTAGATTCATTACTAATGTAAACTAATTGATTTTCAGTTTGAATATGTTATTTGTTCAACACATAATAATGCATATGAAAAATTTTGATTGTATGTCGAATTATAATACAAGAATTTTGAAGTGAACTGTATATCATTGTCTTTAATAATAATTTGAGCACAGTTCAACATGCTAGCAATTTTTTTAAGCAAGCATGGATATCTCCCCTTACCGATACATCACCTATGAGATCTACAGAAAACTTAAACTTTGTTTGTTGTGAAACCAAGTTTAGATTTTGACCACCAAATGTAGAATGGCTCTCTGTCTCTCTGCCGTTTTCACTGCAAGGCAACTAAATGAAACTAGAACCCAAAAGCAAATTATTTTTGATATAACATCACCCAGATCACAGGTCACTGTCATTTGAATCATCATATGCAGAGACTCGGAATGTCGGAAGACAGTGTGTGTCGCCTCTGTTTGGAAAATGATGAACCAGCAGAGCACATACTTTGTGCCTGCCCCGCAGGGGACCGAATCAGGTTTTTAGAGTTCGGCAGAGCCGTACTCTTACCATCTAACCTGAAAGATCACTTCCCATACAAACTAATCGGCTTCTTCAAGAAGCTGGGTTTATTTAGACGAGTGTGAATAGGTGTGAGCCACAATAAATCCTTGCGAGTTGCGGTGGAGGGTTGAATAGACCCACTCACTTTGGACCTAACCTAACTTAATAAGTAAGCATGGACATTTCTGCTCAGTAAGAAGCTTTGAGAACGACAGAAAACTCAAATCTTGCTCATTTAAGGATGTCAATGCTTACCTAAACTCAAGACAATTGAGACCTATATTGAGTTGAAACAGAATGTCTTGTGTTGGTTCACGAATGCTTTATTTTCAGGCTCTGGTTTCAAATAAGTTTTGAAGGAAGAAAAGCAATGAACAACAAAAATGGGTGAAAATGATGAAAATTGGTAGCTACTGATTTTGCAGATTTTTACATTCTACATCACTTACATGATGGAAGGAAGAGAAGCAACCAAAATGAGTGAAAATGATGATAAATTGGTACCAACTGATTTTGTAGGTTTTTTTACATTCTACATCACTTACATGATGAAGATTTCGAAGAGCTACTGAGATTAGTTTCACCAGGAGAATATATACTACCTAGTTCTTTGGTATTTTCCGTACTTTGACAAAGATCTGTTGTTCGTCCAGAATCAGGAATACAAAGCACGTCTAAACAATCTGATTCATCAGTCTGAAAGAAAAAGATTAACATTTCAAAACAAGTTTTTAGACTTAACTGTGAAAAGTTCCAAGTAGCACAGATTCAAATGTAAGGTGAACAAATTATCTATTTTTGTGTTTACATACATTCCAAGAAACATTTAGAAAAGATGTGTGATACTAAATGTTTTTCCATAATTTTTATTGACTAGGTTATTTAGAGAACATTTCTTTGTAGCAAGTTCACATCCACAATTTGTACAAATGGATTTATCACATTTACAAGGTAAAACTACGCCAGTGTAAAAGCAGTCATGCTTTTCAGCCACAAATTGAGTGGATTTTCTACTGATGTAGGAGTGTGTTAAGCCACCATTGGCTGTTGAAGCATATAGAAATTTTAGTTAGCCATGAAACTTTTAAAACATCCATTGCCAGTGACGAAATTATTAAAGAAAATTCCAATCTCACCTCCACCGCTGAATAAAATAATAGATTAATGTACCCTATTTCTACGTAGAAAACTCAATTTTGTAGAATTTTTCAATACTTCAATAATATCAATTTGATTTAAACAATTATGAGTGAAAAAAATATGACCAGAGATATTTTTGCATGAAACGATAATATTCAGCTTGCTTCGATTTTGTCGTGGAAAACTTCATCCTCTACAACTCTTCATACTATTTCGATTGAAAAAAGATATAAAAAAATAGCTAGTTAGCGATTTCTTTTATGTAAAACAATAATACTTTTATGGTCCCCGATTTTGTCGCAGAAAATTTCACCCACTACTTTAAATTGTAAAAATTACCACTTCTGTAAAACTAGCATTATTGGCGATACTGTTACATAACAATAGTATTCTGTATGTTATAACATCTACATGGTCGTTCCTACAACACTTCATATTATTTCGATTTAAAATAGTAATGACATCTGCAAAAATAACTTTGCAGGGGATATTTTTAAATGAAACATTAGAATTCGTTGTTTTTTGTAAAACGTGGAATACTATATGTACTCGTATATATGGTTTCCGATTTTGTCGCGGAAAATTCCATCCCCTTCAAGCTTTTATATCACTTCGATTAAAAAAATCGTTAAGTTCTGAAAAAAAAAAGTGTTACTGGGAATATTTTTACATGAAATCATAGTATTCTGCGTGTTTTATATGACATATATGGACTGAATAAATCATATCTCTCAAAAAAGTGAAGTTACTGATGATATTATTACATGGAACGAGAACAGTATTCGGTAGTTTCTATCTTTATTTATAAATGCGAGACTCACTCATTTAATACTCACTCATTCATCTCTGTTTCTTCGTACTGGTAAGTTCTATGAAGTTTAAATTTGGTATATAGGTAATTCTTAGGTTTTAGATGCACACTAAGAAAGGATTTTCAAATATTCCAACTGGGGCGCCCCTCGTGTGGGTAAAAGGAGAGCGTTTACATATGAAAATTACCTTTTCATCACTGTTTCTCCTTACCGCTATATTTTCGTTGTCTGAAATTTTGTATGTAGGTTCGTTTTATGTTGTAGTTGTGCAATTAAAAAGGATTTTTACAACTGGGGTTTACACTTTGGGGATAAAAGTGGCGCGTTTACATATGAAAATACTTTTTGTATCGTATCGTTATATTTTCGGATGCTGAAATTTTGTATGTAGGTTCGTTTTATATTGTGGATGAATATTCCAACTGGGGCACCAGCCGCGGGGGAAAAGGCGCGTCCATAAAAGAAAATGATCCTTTTATCACTTTTTTTCCATGCCCTAAAATTTATGGTTAGTGAATTCATATTTAGTATCAGCATTGCACTCGTGCGGGGCTGGGGCGGATCGCTAGTTACTTCTATATGGTCCTTGAATTTGTCGCGGAAAATATCAGCTCACCCTACTTCTCCTTGTGAAAATATAGTCCCAGCAGTAATCGTCTTTTCAAACATCATATATCACTAAAGAAAGAACAGATTTTGGAAATTATTCAGTGCATTAAAATGTGATAGTCCACTGTGTGGCAAAGTGATTCATGTTAATTTCCAATAGTATTCCCACGAGGGCAAATCCACTTCCAAGAACTGTTCGACAAATTTAACAATATGAATGAATTAAAGATTTGTAGGAGGTGTAGGATGGTCCGCGACAAAATCGAAGTGTTGTAGATCACGTCGAATTCTACTGTTTCGAGTGGAAATTTTACGAGTAAAACTATTTTTTCATTTCTAATCGAAATGATCAAAAGTTTGGTGGGAAGTGTAATTTTCCGTGACAAAACTGAGGACCATAGTATTACAGAATATGCATTTTATGTAAAAATATCCTCAGTAACGCAATTTTTTTCGAACTCATGAATTTTTAAATCGAAATGAAGAACAAGAAAAGGTTAATTTTCCGCAACGAAATTGAGAATTAGGTATAAAAGAAAGGTTTTGGCTTTCTACTCCTCTATCTTTATACAAAATGTGGGAATTCTAGTAGGGGATTACAGCCGGTTCTCGGCCTCCCCCTACTACCATTATGACATACTTATTTTCAAAAACTACAAGTTTGTGGAGATCAAATCGTGAGGTGTAGTTTTCGAAATTACCATGGACCTTCATCAAGTAACGGCCGAATCAACCAAAAAAAAAGACATAATTATGGACATTTCAATTACGTCATGAAGGTGACCTTGAAAGATGTGTCTGGTGCATAGGTATAAATTACGTTATAGAAATTTTCCATTGAGACTTGTTCGATTTAAATCACGCCACGGCCTTATAGGGGGTTGGGAATAGATTGCATACAGGCAGGGTGAGGGGAGGTCGCAGCGGCAGCTCATCGCTCAGCGGCGGTATGTGGTGTACGCACCTGTCTCCTGAAGGTAATTTCAGTAGGTACATGGTTCGAGACATTCTGCCGGTCGCCTAACAGTCGGCACTCAATACTCGAATGGCTCGAAGAGCGGACATAAATCATAGAGTATAGTCTGAACGAAGTACCCGCGGTGCGAATACGTAACTGCAAATGAAGGAAGTGGTTCTTTCGACATTCTGCCGGCGAAGTATGTGATGTACTCGATTCAGTGCCGAGATATTCCATACTCACGCTTCGTTGTGAAAGGTTGTTGACAGCGATTATTCATTACTTTCCACTTGTGTATACAAATGCCATATGCTCAAATTCGATGGTACATGAATACCTCCGAACCCAATGTCGAACCTTTCTTTAATAGACTGTTGGCAATGAGATGATGCTGCGAGTTGATGAAGGAAACTTTGAATTCTGGATGAAATGCATAACATAATATGAGAGTATAGTGATGAGGTGTATGCGAGACATATTTGAGGGAAAAATAGGATTTTCAATTTTCAACGTAACAAAGTATAAAAGAAACTTGTATTTATGAAGAAGACGATGAAAGTAATTTTCTCTTTATTTGTTACAAAATCTTTGAATGTGATAATTAATTGCGCTCTGTATTTGATTGTGCAAACAAAGCATATTACAATTTACAAACTGCATAAAATTACTTTTATTAAATTCACAAAATTGTATTAAAAAGAAGGTGGATTGTACTGACAATTAAAAATATTGAATAAATCATAGTTTGAAATTAAAATATCAGAGTTGAAAGCAGAACATTTGAAACAATATCGAATGCAGCTGTGAAATTCTCTGGTCTATGTATAGTCATCATTCATTTATTCAGTTATTTACCCAAACAGGTTGAATAACCCAATTACATGGATATGACAAAACTATACAATTGAAACTTGATAACATAAATATAATAAGAATACAATTTATTCACAATCATAACTGTCACTATATCAGAGCTCAAGGAGACATTACATAGAACTGTTGATTAAATAATTTATCGATTATTGACAGAAACTATTTTAAGATGAAGTTCAGTCTAATGATGTTGAGGTACCAATTTGATGCGAGACATATTCATGGGAGAAAATATTATTTTTTACTGTTCAAGCTATTCTTACATTGGGGAATTCCATATACTGTCTGATGGAAGCTTGTGTTTATGAAGAAAACGATGAAATCAGTTTGGGCTTTATTCGTTACAAGTTGGTTAAATGAGATAAAAAATTGTGATCCATATTTGATTATGCAACCCATGCAGATAACAAAATGCATGAAATTCCTTTTATTAGATTTACAAAATTTGTTTAGTCATTTGTCTAAACAGGTTTAAATAACCTAGTAACAACATGGAAATAACAAAAAGAAAATATATAATTCGAGCTTAAAGACATAATAGCAAAAATATAATGTATATATATGGACTGAATAAATCATATCTCTCAAAAAAGTGAAGTTACTGATGATATTATTACATGGAACGAGAACAGTATTCGGTAGTTTCTATCTTAAATTTTCGAAATATCTTTATATTGTGGAATAATGGAAACTTGTGTTTATGAAGAAAACGATGGAAGTAGTTTGGGCTTTATTCGTTTCCTGTTGATTAAATGGGATGAAAAAATGTGATAATGCATAGTGCACAATTTCCGTATCATTTAGATTCGGTAACTTGTGCTTGCGTTCTAAGAATGGTTTGAAAACGTCGAATCATTTTAACCTAGTCTGAAGGGCCTTTCATGTTCAGCATACCGTTTTGGGAAATTTTACACTATTACACTCCAGACACTTAAGCTTATAAACTCAATTTTTCCCAATCTTGTCCACTTTATCTTTGGCATTAAAAAATAAATTAGATAATCTGGCATGTGGCCTGAATGCCACTTTTACATTGTCTTGTTATTTTAATAGAATATGATAAAGTTACAAATATCTTGATTTCTGATTGTTTAGTCTGAGAGGATATTGATCTGTGCGTAAATTTGATGCTTTGTTTTCTGACTAACTACTGGATTGTGTTTGCGTTGAAACCATTATTCTATCCTATCCGCATAATTGTTTTAATTTTCCCATCTAGATTATTAGCAGACAAACGTAACCAGAATGCTCTCTGTAACATTGAATTGTAGGATGCAAATTTATGACTGTCGGGATGGAAAGAA